AGGGAGCAGGGGTGGATGGGGGCAGGAGTCCCGGGGGGGGGGAGGCAGATAGGAGGTGGGGGCCAGGCCATGACCCCCTCCCCTAACCGGCCCTCCATACAATTTACAAAACCCGATGCAGCCCTTAGACCAAAAAGTTTGCCCACCCCTGTACTAGGCAATAGTATGACATATGAGCCAAATTCTGCCATCACATGTCATAAGGTCCCCATTCTGCAAGCTGCCCCTGTGTGATAATCAGTAGGGCTCCAAGTGGATGCAAGGGTCTGCCTATGCAGAGAAGCTTGCAGAAAAGTGTTGATGCTCTGATTCAGGACAGCAATTAGAACAAAAAGCCTAAGTGCTGTCCCGAAATGGGATGTTTTCGTGAATTGGGGCCTAAGACAGTAAGCAGTATGGTATGGCATACCACAGCAGAAATTTTAAAATGGGTTCAGAAATTACTGCTACAAAATAATAATGAATCTTGTAACACTAACCATAACCACAGAGTTACAGCAGGAACTATTTTCACTGCCTAAAAAGTGCCATTTATCAGAAGGGGAAAAATGCATTAAACATTGTTGTTTTATTTAACTGCATTTCTGAACCCATTTTATCTTTTCTTTGTAATTTTTTTTTATTTCAGACTTGCTGGACCTTCCCTCCTGCTCTGGACCTCTCCCCTGGCGTCGGCACAACTCAGAAGGATGAAAGAAAAAGAAGCAATAGGAGAGGGATGGAAGAGGGGAGAGGAGTAAAAGGAGGAGGAGGGCAGCAATTGAAATGGAGAAAAATTCAACAGCGGTTCAGTTAAGGCTTAAATAATGGAATGTTTATAAGATCCCCTCCTAGTGACCTTTCCTTCTGGGTCATTACCCTCTCTGTCACCTTAGCTCTGGGGGGCTTTCATCAGCACTTCAGCCACAGCAGCCTCGCTTTTAACTTTCGCTTTTTATTATCCACAATAAAACAAACAAAAAATCCCAGAATGCAGAACCCTGCTTACAGACCTAATTTCCAGGGTGGTTGGGTTTATATTTTAGTTTTTTAGATGAAATATGGTTACATTGTTAAGTATGCAAGTCAGTAGTAGTACCGGCATAATTAAGGACTATTTCTGTGAGTTACGTTGGGACCAGATTTGCAGTTAGGCAGTTAGGCAGTCCTAACTTGCATCACTATTGCAATGGCCCCTTATGTGCCATCGCAGGGGTGCAGAACTGCTGGGCTGAAAGGATTCCACAGCCATGCCTCCTCCCATGCTGATGTGCCTCTTCCTCTTCAGGCCCAGCCCTATCTGGAATGCCTCCTGCATAGTAGGACTGCTGCAGGAGGGATCACAATATTGGTAGAGACACTACTCAGCCTAGAAGACTCCTAAAATGGGTATTTCCTGAGTGGGGGAAAAGGGGACTTACATCTGTCCTATCACCCCTTTGCACCAGACTATCTAGCATAAAGGGGCCATAGGGCAGTCATTGAACGGGTACAAAGGCAACCTACAGTAGCAAGTTTGCAGGTGTAAGCCTTTATACTGGAAGTGGTAAAAAATTCCTGATGTTGTATTTAAAATAAAAGTTGAATGTGGCTGTAAGTGAAGTTTTTTTGTTTTTCACATCTAGCCCAACAGGTGCTGGTGGAACTGGTCCAGAGCAGAATGGTCAGGTCTGAAAGCCTAAAAGGAATGTTCATGACCTAAGCAAACAATCTTTTTAATAATAATATGTGCACACACACACATATACACACACACTTGTTAAATAAAAGTTTGAGAGACTAGTAACTTCTTTTGGTGAATTTGTTAAAATATTATTATTTAAATAAACTTTTTCATTTTATAATTTCTCTCCACTTACAATGTAAACATGGACTGTTGTCTCATACATAACTCCATATTTATAATATTCATTAGTAATAAATTCTCCATAGTGTAATGGTGTTAGTGCTGAATTGTTTCCTAAATGGTATGTTATACTACTAAATCTCATTGACAGTAATTCAGTATGGTACATAGAATTGGCAAAATCCTACCTGCTTTATACATACAAGTAGTTGTTTTGAAGTCAGTGATCTTATTGAAATCTATGTGACTGCCCGTGTAAGTAAGATAAAGACAGATTTGATCCAATCCAAAGCACTTTGAAGTCAGTGGGGAAACTCACTTCAGTAGGCCTTGGGTCAGGCCCTTAGTCCTGATGTCCCCCTGCAGTATCAGCAGTGTTGTAGAGTAACACATTACAAGTTATTCTACAACTTTGTGCCTTGTTTTGTAACTTTCAACTTTTATTTCAAAATGCAGGGAAATTGCTAAGTACAGTAGTTGCCATTTCACTTTAAAATGTAACTTTCATCCATAATCATCAGTTATACCAAGCATTTGGTCATAAAAATAATATTATACTACCTTCAGAGCTGTTGGAAAAGATGTTTTATAGCTTGGGGGAATGGTATGGGCACCTTGAACATATGGACTTTTGATTGAAACTTTGAAAGGCCACAACTTCTGATATGGTAGTGCATTTTGGGGGATGTTAAATTTATACTTATTTCAAATCAAGTGCTATTATTGCCAGTGGAGTTTGTAACTGAAACATGTTAGATGGCCTCAAATGTAACTATAACATGTTTAAACAAGTAACATTAACAAACCTGTATCAATAAGCTTGGGCCACATTTTTTTTACCAGGGTGCCTAAAGCCAGGCATCCACTGTAAATCCATAATTAGGCACTTACAAAAAAGCAGCTCAATTTTCAGAGGTGTTAATCACCTGCGGCTCAGACTGACCTCAGTGGGAACTTTCAGTGGTCAGCACCTCTAAATAAAATCCAGTTATTTATATTTAGATGCTTAAGTGTTGGAGCTAATCAGAAAACATTTTTTCTAAAAACTTTCCATTTTCTCAAAAGTTGAATTTTTCTAACCAGTTCTATTTACTATAGATTAAGATGCCTGACTGTATGAATTCTAGTTTGAAAATGTTTTAATATATTCTTCCTTTAGCAATATACCCTGACCCACTGAGGACAATTACATTCTTTCCATTGACTTGAATTGGGAGTTAGACTAGACCCAAAAGATCCTAGTGTACTCTGCATTTGAAACTTACAAAATTGGTAAAATTTCATTTTAGTGTGTGTGATTCTTTTGCCATTACATCGACTTTAGGGGTCAGATGCTGCTCTTATTTATAGTTGTGCAACACTTTGACATCAATGAATTGACTCTGGGTTTGCACTGAGAACAGAATTTTGCCTGAAGTCACTACCAAGTATGGCTTGCTGTCAGTCATTTCTCAGTATGGTATTACATACTGTAAATGTCAAAATATAATAAATAAATAAAATATAATGTCCATTATACCTTCTCATAACAGTCAGTCTTACCCCAGTATGGTTCATTGTTTTGTTGTAGCATAAAGACAATGTGGTACATGTGTCTAAATAACAGTATCTAAGCAGATGATGCTATTTCCCGTAAAGTCTATGAGAATTTTGTTATTGATTGCAGTGGGAACAAGATCAAGCATCCATTTTCCAATATGGTAGGATGTGGTTCGAATACAAATATGGTGTAATATACTATTTCAGTAGAATAGACAATATGATATTGGATGACTCAGTAGTTCCCTAGATGGAAAAATAGAAATGAGATTTAATTAAAAATATGTACTGCTGTTGCTGCTAGTTAATGATATGGTGCAAATTTTGTCCAATATGCTAAAAGTGCAGTATGAGTAGGGTTCTATTTGCTAATCAATAAAACAAAGTAAAGGATGATGGTTCAAGAGTGTTTAGTCCGGTATCATTTAATATTATGAGATCAGTTCTCTATTAAGTAAGATACATATTGGGACAAAGCACAGAGCTTCACGAAACATAGAGTAATATCTACTAAAAATCATAATGATTAACACCATAGAAAGGAATCTACCATACATTAGGGCATGTCTACACTTAACTCCAGAGCGATCGATCCAGTGGGGGTCGATTTATCGCATCTAGTGAAGACGTGATAAATTGGCCACCAAGCTCTCTCCCGTCGACTCCAGTACTCCACCGGAATGAGAAGTGTAGGCGGAGTCGACGGGGGAGCGTCAGCAGTTGACCTACTGCTGTGAAGACACCATGGTAGTAGATCTAAGTATGTCAACTTCAGCTACATTATTCACGTAGCTGAAGTTGCGTAACCCAGATCGACTCTCCCCCCCCCCCAATGTAGACCAGGCCTTGGTATGCTGTGAAAAGGGATAACATTTTCAGTTGCTTAGAACTTTGCAAATCTTTAACTATTTGGACTTCCAGGTGTCTGGCTCAGACTGAAATGTTCTGGAACATTTCAGCCAAAATGGAAATGGTTAATTTCCAAGAATGAGACTAGTGAAAAATATACGTTTTTTCCCATTTTAAAAAAATCTGGTGATTTTTTTGTGAGAAAGTCTAGCACCTCCAGTCTTTGGAGAAAGGACTTGAAATTTGGCAAGAGGATGTCCTTTTCTGACAGGGATGTGTTTTGCTATTCCCATGAAAATTTACCTAAACTTAGCCAAATTACAAGTCTTTGAAAAATATCAGTTTTCACGTGCTAAATAGAGACTTGCTAGAGCGTCTCAGCTAAAAACAAGGAAGATTCCATTTTACTGAGCAATGTTCCAGCCAGTGCTCAGCAGAATTGTGCTGCAATGGCAGCTCTGCACTACTGCAGACCAGGCTAGAGCCAGCCACTGGAACTCAGAGCAGGGAACCTCTCTCTTCCATGGTCTTAATGCCCCCCATACTGGGTCCAGTCAGCAGTAGGAAGCTGCCTCATTTGAATGCAGAGAGGGCAAGAGCCAGACCTCCATTAGTGGGGAGTTGGGGAGGAGTAGATTGGGATAAAGGTCCTGTGTAGGGGGAACTGGGGTTGGTCCCTGGCTGAGAGAGAGGGAAACTGATACTGGGAGTTGGTGTCGGGGGGGCGGAGGGGGGAAGAGACTGGGACTGACTGACTGGGACTGACAAGAGAGTGAGACTTGGAACCAATAGGGCAGATGGGAAGAGGTGGAGGGGAGCAGAGACTGACAAGGATCAATGGTGTGGGGGAAGAATTTGGACTGTCAGGGAAAGAGAGTGGGACAAGAAACTTGCAGAGGAAGGGAATGAAATTGGACAAGGACCCCAGGGAGTTGCCTGGGATAAGGAATAGAGGCAGAATGGGGGCAATTAACTGGAGGCTGAGAAGAAAGATTGATTTCACAAGAAGCCAGGAAGAGGGGAACTGGGACTGACTGGGTGAGGAGACTGGAACTGGCATCAGAAGCCTGAGGAGTGGAGAGTGGGACTGGCTAGGTTAGGAGACTAGGACTGGGATGAGGAGCCATGGTGAGGGAGAGACAGGACTGAGACAGGGTCAAGTCGGAGAGGACAGAGCAGAAAGGATCAAGCTTGGGGGGAACAGGCAGAAGAGTCTGTGACCACTAAAACACATTTCCCTCCAGGACCTGGAATGAAAGCTAGGATTCCTGCATCTCACCATTCTTCTCATGTGATCATGTAAATAAAGACTATTGTAATGCATATGCACAAGGAGAGCAATTAAGGTTACACTGGCATTTGATAACTTTTTGAGTGCTTGACTTTGCAATCTTAATAATGTCATTTTAACATATTTCTGTATATAATATATAAATCATATATGTAGCCATACTGACCATATATACTGCAATCTTTACAACAAGCTGTGAGATATGATATACATATAATCAAACAATATAAAATTTGATTTATTTATAAACTTTTATGGAATGCTCTGCTGTAGGTTTTGAGTTCCTA